AAAATTTATATTATTATCTACACTTTGTTTTTTTGGGTCTCTAATTGATAAGGGCCTTTTGGGGGCTTTTTATTTTTTGGTCTTTCCTATGGGTTTACTCCTTTTTATTTTATTTTATTTTTTTAAAGTTCTTGAGTGGGCTTGGACTGTCATTAACTAACTTGGGGTTGTTTATAGAGTTGGAACTCATCCGTCTCGAAAACAGCCTGCATTTTCCTCTTTAAATTTAACTTGCGTTTATCGTTACAGATCTATTAGTTTACAGAAGCAGATTGAATAAAAACGGTTGAATATGAAAGAGTCAAAACTTGCATGCTATTAAAATACTTTACCGTCTTCATTCATTTGTATTAAAAAGAGACTGTTTTTGTTTTGATTTGAAGGACCAAAGTAGATAAATGATTTCGCAAAAAATAAAAGGAGACAAGGCATTTCTCCCTAATTATTTTTTAGTACGTCATTATGCAACCAGAGTTCATTTTCAGTTACGTGTTCTTAATTATGCCGTGATCTTCAAAAGTTCTTTTATTTTTTATTTTTTTGAAGTTTACAGTTAAGATATCTCTAGATTAATTTTCATATATCTTGAGATTAGTCTCTTTATAGGCAATTTGATGTGTGCACTCTTACATCCTGATGTATCAAAGAAAATTAATTTTTTTGAGTGTTGGTCTAAGACTTGAATTTTGTATTTATCATATAAGATAACACTTATTTATCAATGAATTCAAACCCTCAAAGCTTGATATGTGAATAGGTGAGAGTAATTTTTTCCTAAAAAATTGAATTATAATCGAATTAGTGAATTATCAAAAAATCAAGAGATAAATCATAGCTTGTCATGTCAACTTTTTTTGGTAAATCACTAAACGACTAGAATTCATCTTCAGTTATGTGCTTTTGCTTCCTTCATTCAAAAACCATGTAGCGTCTTTGTATTTGGAAAAGTGGGAGTAATATTTTTAAAAAAAGCTAAATTTAATCAAATTAATGATTTACGAAAAAAATCAAGAGACAAATCATAACTTGTCATGTCAATTATTTTTTGGTAAATCACTAATTGACTAGAATTCATCTTTAGTTATGCACTCCTTCTTCCTTGATCCAACAACCATGTAGCCCCTTCATATTTGGAAATGTGGCTGTAATATCTTCTTGAAAAATTGAATTCCAATCGAATTAGTGATTTACCAAAAAATCAAGGGACAAGTCATTGATTGTCATGTCAATTTTTTTTGGTAAATCACTAACTGACTAGAGTTTGTCTTTAGTTATGTGTTCTTGCTTCCTCAATCCAAAAACTAAGCAGCCTTTTTATATGGAAAATGATATGTGCACACCCGGGTCAACACCCGGGTGTTCACACTCCCCTTTGAAAAAAAAAAATGCCCATCACTCACCCGGTCCAATTTTTTTTTTATATGGGGGTGCACACCCGGGTGTTGGATCCGGGTGTGCACCAATCAGGGTCCTTTTTATATTTGGCATTGTAGGAATAATATTTTCTTGAAAAACTGAATTTTAATCAAATTAATGATTTACCAAGAAATTAAGAGACAAGTTATAGCTTGTCATATCATAACTCGTCATCTCAAACTATTTTTTGATAAATCACTAATCAACTAGAGTTCATCTTTAATTATGTGCTCTTGCTTCTTTAATCCAACAATTGGCTCGCAAATTTGGCCTTGTGGGAGTAATATTTTCCTAAAAATTGAATTTTAATTGGATTGGTTATTTACAAAAAAAAAAAAAAAAATCAAGAGATAAGCCATTGTTGCTAGCCTCCTAATTTTTTAAGAGGTGGGACTAATATTTTTCTGAAAGAAATCTAATCAGATTAGTGGAAACTTATTAGAAAATAAAGAAGAGACAAACCATTGATTCACAATGTTTTGGTAAATTCACTGACTCGACTAGGGTTCATCTCTATTTACATTCTCTTACTTTCCTTTGCTTCTAACAACGCTAATCTTTTCATTTCTGCAGAGAGTTTATTAAAGAATTGAGTTCTAATTATAAACCAGTGACTTATCTAAAAATTAGAAGTGGAGAGATTTACTGACCGACCAGAATTCATCACTAGTTGTATTTAGACCTAAAGTCCCCAAACCATATTTTGTTTTGTGCAAAAGCCAAGCTGCCTTTTATAGGTAGGGTTTTGGATGACTTTGGTGGGGTGAGAATTAATCCAAAATTTGAGTGTACTATGCTATTCGGATACTCTTCCATAAATGCATTTTATTTTTCAAAAAGGTTAAATGTTAAAGTTAGTCGTTAACACTTTTATTTTGAATGGTTTTAGTCTCTGAACTATTTTTATACTTTTTTCATCCATCAACTATGAAAAATACTCTTTTTTTGTCCTCCTATCAATTTTGTCCTTAAGTTTGATAGCCAGCATTTTTTTGGTCCTAAACTTTTGTTTTATGGCCCTTTTTTTGGTCCTTAAACTAATATTTTTTTGTACACTTTTAGTCCTTAAACTTTTGTTTTATGCATATTAGGTTACTAAAGGAAATTTAACAAATGCTAGCTAGACAAACTTAATGGACAAAACTAAAGGAAGGTCCAAAAAGTGCATCTTTCATAGTTAGAGGATGAAAAAAGCATACAAAATAGTTTAAGAACTAAAATTGTTCAAAATTGAAAGTTAGTGATTAGATTTGACATTTAACCTTTTAGAAATTTTAAATCCTTATTTGGTTACTCAATTACCTATATTTGCCATTTTTTTGAATGTTATTATCCATATTAGGACGGAGTACATGGTATGTACATCTAACACTTAGATAATAGGTTTTCCATCATTATTTTGAATGTTTGAGTAACCTTTGTATTCCATTACATTGTTATGTTAATTTAGTTTTTAACGAACAATGACCATTCTCATTCAATAATTCTATTAATATAGGCTTTGTTTAATATGGTTGCAATTTTGAGTTTTAGTTTTAGCTTTTATAAATTTTACTATTTAAAAAAAAAACACTCATTTAGTTCATGTTTGATTTTTAATATTTTATTGTGATTCTTAGAGAATAACAACAAAATTACTTTTAATACTACTAAACAAGTTTATGCTTTTAGTTGTTAGTGTCAAAACTCATCTTAAACAAGTTGTTGATCATTTGGTTTTTAATTTTAATTTCCAAAAGTTGCAAAATTTTTCAACATTAAAATAAAAAATTTAAAACCCCAACTATAGCAAATATAGCCTTAGGTTTTACCAAATAATGCCCATCATTATGTATGAGTAGATCTTTGTATATTTCAAGCATATTACATACATTTAATGCACATAAAAATTTTTAAGATTTCTAAAGATTATTTCCTAACAAGTATTTGAACTATATTTCTTAAATATTATTAGATAAGATATAATCTATCGTTATTAATTATTTTAAGAGTGTCTTGTTTTACAGTCTAGATTGTACTGAATTGTAAAATAAAAGTTATTAATTTGGAGGTCGAATTCTTAATATCAAGAGGCTCACCCCCATCTATTGGTTATGGTTATGTAATCTAATACAATTCAAACTACATTATACTTTTTTTTTTAATTATGATTGAGTAGTAGGCATAATACAAAATAATGTCTCACAAGCACAACTTTGCTTGGAGCTTTTTTTTTTTTGAACAGCCAAAAGTAATATTAATTAAAAAAGGGAGTACAAAATAATGTCTCACAAGCCTAAACTTTGCTTGGAGCTAGCGTTGTGTTAAAAGTGATTTACATATACTTATGATTTTGTTGAGTCATGTCTCATATTGTAGAAAAATATTTAATTCCCAAACCACTGGAGTGGCGTTTATTGGGAGCGATTCAAGAGTGGCATTGATGGATGGAGAGAGTTTCAAGCAAAGACTCTTATCAGTTTTAGTTGCTGAAGTCTCTTAGCAGGATGGTTATGGGCAGAGCAGTGCTACCTATGAAGTTCAAGTCAAACCTAAAGGACTATTCATCGCAGAAAAAAAAAGGAAAACAGTGGATTTTGATTCTCCAGGAAGCAACGAAATTTTTGAAGTGCCATTAAAAAGTTATTAATCTCAAAATACATGTAATCTAATTCTAGCGCCCAATTAAAAAAAAAAAAAGAGGCCAAAATTAACACTTAAAATTCCTAGGACGAGAACATCTAATATAACAATTTTTTTTATACAAGGGTTACACTAACTTTTTATATAGTAAGTCTAGCTGCAACAATTCTATTTAATTAAGCAATGTAGCGTGCTTGGCCCAGCAGGTAGAACAACTCTCCTTCATCCTGAATATAACATCTTTTATAAGGTGTTGGCTCGTCATCAACTTTGACTTTGTAATATAAATAATTACATGTAAATTGAAATATATATTTTCCAATCTCTTATGTTCTTTAACTAATTTATTTTGAATTTATACCTTCACTATCTTATGTATTCATTCAATTAAACCAGCCCCAAAAAAAATTCTGGAAAGCAATAGAACAGATATACCAGGAGCTTTTGATGTCAACCCTAGGAACAATTTATTCGGAAAAAAAAAATAGTGAATCTTGAGAACAGCAAGCAATAAAATTTTTAAGAGGGCACTATTAAAATCGTTTAAAGATATATTAGTTTTGAGTACGTAAAATCTAATCCTGCCTTCCCATCTAAAAAAAAAAACAGTTTCAAAATTTATACTTGGAATTAATTCTTCTAGTCTCGTATATGCTATGTTTTTTAACTCAAAAATATGTTATAAATTTGGTTTTTCTATTTTACAATGCGGATTGTACCGTTGAAATGTAAGTTATTAGGATGCATCATGCATGTGCAGAAAATCTCAAATTATCAAGGTCGTGGTCAAAGCAAACGTATGTTGACAAAACGCAGGCGGATGTATATATTTTTTCCCCTTTCACGAAAAAGAATAAGATTATAAACAGAGACGGAGCCAGCATAGGACAAGGGTGGCAGCTGCCCCCCTAAACATTTGAAAAATGTTTAATATAGTGCA